CCTCGGTCCGAGGCATCAGGCCTGGGTGGGGGGCTGGGGGTCCCCTGCCCAGGCCTGATGCCTGGGCCAGAGGCATCAGGCCTGGGTGGGGGGTGGAGCCGGGTATTGGGGATATGATGGTCCCCTTGCCCAGGCCTGACACCTCTGTCAGAGGCGTCAGGCCTGGGCAAGGGGCCAATCCTGTGATTTGAGGGTGATGGGGGTCAATGCCTGAGGGCTCCCAGTATGTGAGAGGGGGTAGGCTGGGCTGAGGGACACCCCTCCCCCCACACCCAGTGCACGAATTTCGTGCACCGGGCCCCTAGTTGAGATATAATTGACATATAATATTATATTAGTTTCAATTGTACAGCATAATGATTTGATATTTGTATATATTGTGAAATGATCACCACATAAATCTAGTTAACATCCATTGCCACACAGTTACGATTTATTTATTTTTTTTGTGATGAGAAATTTTAGGATCTACTCTCTTAGCAACTTTCAAATAAATATACAATACAGCATTGTTAACGATAGTCAGTGTGCTGTACATTACATCACCAGGGCTGGTTTATTTTATAACTAGAAGTTTGTACCCTTTGACCCCCTCCCCCATTTTGTCCAGCCCACCTTTGGCAACCACCAATCTGTTCTCTGTATCTGAATTTGGTTTTCGTTTTGTCTGCTTTTTAGATTCCACATCCACGTGAGGTCAGACAGTGTTTGTCTCTCTCTGTCTGACATATATCACTTAGCGTAATGCTCTCCAGATCCATCCATGTTGTTGTAATGACAAGGTTGCCTTCCTCTATTTGGCCAAATAATATTCATGGTATACATGTGCACCATGTTTTCTTTATTCGCTGATCTATTGATGGACACCTGTGTTGCTTTCAGACCTTGCCTATTGGAAATAATGCTGCAATAAATGTAGGGTACAGATACATTTTTGAATTAGTGTTTTCAGCTCCTTTAGATAAATACCCAGAAGTTGAATTGCTGAGTCAGATGGTAGTTTTTAGCTTTTTGAGGAACCTCCTTGCTGCTTTTCATAAAGGCTGCACCAGTTTACTTTCCCACCAACAGTGCACAGGGTTTCATTTTCTTCACATCCTCTCCAGCACTTGTTGTTTCTTGTCCTTTGACAATAGCCATTCCAGTACATGGGAGGTGATACCCTATGATGGTTTTAACTTGTATTTCCCTGATGATTAGTGATATTGAGCACTTTTTTCATGTATCTGTTGACTATCTGTATGTCTTTTTCAGAAAAATATCTATTCAGATTCTGTACCCATTTTGAAATTGTTTGTTTCTTTGTTATTAAGTTGTATGAGTTGTTTATATATTTTGGATATTAACCCCTTATCAGATATATGATTGAATTTTTTTCTTGCATTTTTTAGGCTGCTTTTTCATTGTGATTGCTTCCTTTGCC